AAAGCCATGATAAAATCAAGCCAAGCCCCTGGTAGAATATGCTCCACAGTTGCCTGTGTAATCTGGGCATGCTGTGATTTTAATGTGTTATTACCCAGGCTGACTGGATGCTATTAATGAATATTGCTGCCAGCTATTGTTATCATAATGTACTGCAAGTAGTAGTTTCTATTAATGTTACATATCCATAACATTACTTGTTATAGCGATACTTTGTATCTTTATTTAAAAATGGTGCTGCTGTCTGACAGTATCAGGTAAAGCTGGCAATTAATGTCATTTTCTAACTGGCTACAGCTAATCAGCTTGCCTCCTCTGAATATCAAATAACGGCATAATGGGCAAATTTCCATCTGGGAAGCTTTTTAATGTGCTCCTTTTTCCCCCCATTTGGCTCTTTTCAGTTGTTTATATAATGTGGTCTGTCATATGTTAATTTGCATGGTGGGGTAAGGAGATGGGAGGGCAAAGGTTATTCACATGCTTGCTGGCTTATTCTCATTTCCTATGACTCCCACTGTTCCCTGAAGCAGTTATAACCCATCATATTTGCAAAGCCAACTCCTTACAAATTAATTGTGCTCCACCATTGAAATTCTGGAGGGTTGTAGAGAGTCCTGCAAAACCGAGATGCGAGTCAATGATCCAAATGACAGCACTGGCAATTACCTTGCTCGCACTCATTCCTCACTTAATTCTTTAGAGGAGTAACTGCTCTGTGCTCAGGAAGAATGCATGCATTAAAAAGTTCAGTGTTAGCCACACAAAAGGCATCACAGTAACTGCTTCTTAAAACTGAGTAATTTTCTCCATCAACAATCAAGGCTACGGAAGGGAAAAAATAGGAAAGAGTAGGGAAACCACAATCTAATTTGTAAAATATTGGGTCATTTATTGAAACAGGTCAACTAAGCTTATTAATTATTCTTTTTCTTAGGAAGGGTAGGGATGTTTGGGAATGAACATGACTTGCTGTTAACCTTTTGGTCAGTAAAACCTCCTTGTATATGCAAATAAATAAATAAATACATACATACATAAATAAAAACGGGCTTCTTATCCCACACAAGTTTCTAAAATGTATAAATTTTTATTTGGTCAAAACTGTCAAAGGAAATTATTTGGGAACTATAAAATATTCTCAAAGATTTTATGGTGGTCATAAGCTAACCTAGTATGTCTTAGGACTAATAATGTAGGCATTGCACAAATAATATTGATCTTTTAATTAAATGTTCATGATAAACATATAATATTCATTTTGAGCACTAATATTATTTATTGCATTATTATGAAAGAGTAGCAACCATCA